GCTTAGGGCTTAGGGTTTAGGGTTTAGGGTTTAGGGTTTAGGGTTTAGGGCTTAGGGGTTAGGGTTTAGGGTTTCGGGTGTTAGGGTTTAGGGTTTAGGGTTTAGGGTTTAGGGTTTAGGGCTTAGGGCCTAGGGCTTAGGGCTTAGGGTTCAGGTTTAGGGTTTAGGGTTTAGGGTTTAGGTCTTGGGGCCCTATAAACAGTATATTTTTCTGGCTTCACAAAGATTCTACAGCGGATTAAGATGAGCCCAACAGGCCCGAAAGTGTGTGCCTGGGCCGACCATAGGGCTTACCCAAGCCCGTAGAGCCTGTTTTTTGCTTACCTAAACAACCTGGGACGGAGAAAAGTTCCCAAGCTGTGCCAAGAACATACTCTTGTTGCCCGATAACTAGCATGGCCCTTTATCCCTCTCAACATATTCCTGAAGATGCTTCTCATAAACCCAATAAGGGAAAATAGAACATATCCCAAGACCGTACCCAGAATAAGATCCAACAAGTAAGGTGCCTCAATTTGTCTTGGTAGCCCAGCAACCGCATTATCATCAGGGCACCCTTTTTGGGGGTTGGTTACTTCATTAGGGAACCTTGAACCAAAAAGATGGGGAAAGGGTAAATATAGGGGTCGGAATAACTACTAATAGTATTCTCTTATGGTCCCTTTCTAACTATACTATAAGTACTCCAAAACCCTATTCTAACACCCGCCCCCCCCCTTGAACCCCCGCCCTTCAGGACCCTATACATTCAATTCGGCTAGAGGGCCTACGCCCGATGAAAAAAGCCAGCCTACGTTGGTTACCTGGTTGCACAAACCCTATGGAAATCGTTACACAGCCAACTGGCATGCAGTCACATGCTCGGCCGGCTAAGCCCGCGCGCATGGGACGCTGCTTTTTACACGGCTTTGGCAGCAAGCCCACTTAGCGGCGAAGTTGAAACGGAGCAAGACCCCTAAACTCTGAACCAGCTCGAGACTGTCCACGCCCTAAACCTAAACCCTAAACCCTAAACCCTAAACCTAAACCCTAAACCCTAAACGCTAAACCCTAAACCCTAAACCCTAAGCCTCCCCCCCAAAAAAGCTGTCTACATGCACAGCCAGCTATGCCGACGCGTGGCGATGCAAGACTGAGGGTTGAGGGTCTAGCGGTTTTGGCTTTAGGGTTCCAGAATATCGCTGAGTTTCACCGGTTGCAAAGGGGGCACACAGAATGGCTTCAAGGAAGGTTGAGAGGGCCGTTCTCTGAAGATGTCCGACAATTAGGGTTTAGGGTTTAGGGTTTAGGGTTTAGGTTAAGGGGCTTAGGGGGATGAAGCTTCTTTTTGTTGAAGGGGGGCCCATACCCTAAACCCTAAACCCCAAACCCCAAAAGGTCCTCTTGATGCCGTCGAGGTCGTATTTGTCGGGATATGATTACAGGAGAATCCAGCTGTGCGAACCAACGTAGCCCTAAAACCCTCTCAAGAAGATCCTAAATAGTCCTCTTGTACCCAATAAGGAACATATTGAATATCCCAAGATATCCAAGGGCCTGCCGAGCTAAAGACTGATCCCTGCATTCTGCTGTGAGCTCACTGCGCCGGGGCGGGATGACGCCATCTCAGTCGTCTCCGCAGCAGGCAGGGAGCTGGACGCGTCCATAAAGGAGGTCCTCATGACCAAGGGCTCATAGCAGTTTAGGGTTTAGGGTTTAGGGGGTTTGGTTTAGAATTTGGGGTTTGGGGTTTGGGGTTTGGGGTTTAGGGTTTAGGGTTTAGGGTTTAGGGTTTAGGGTTTAGGGTTTAGGGTTTAGGGTTTAGGGTTTAGGGTTTAGGGTTTTAGTGTTTAGGGTTTAGGGTTTAGGGTTTAGGGTTTAGGGTTTAGGGTTTAGGGTTTAGGGTTTAGGGTTTAGGGTTTTGGGTTTAGGGGTTTGGGTTTAGGGTTTAGGGTTTAGGGTTTAGGGTTTAGGGTTTAGGGTTTAGGGTTTAGGGTTTAGGGTTTAGGGTTTAGGGTTTAGGGTTTAGGGTTTAGGGTTTAGGGTTCAGGGTCTAAGACAGTGCTGAACTATAAGAAGCCGAACGAAAAGCAAAAACTTGTAGATTTTGGCAGCTGAGCTCGCGTGGCCAGTTCCGGATGTTTGCGCTGTCCTTACGCACTTGATCCTACACCCTGAACCCGAAACCCTAAACCCTAAACCCTAAACTCTAACCCCTAACCCTAAACCCTGAACCGTAAACCCTAAACCCTAAACTACTCTGAACATCGCAGCCTGCACCCTTATTAAACCTAACAACTACACCTCGGAGTTCAGGAAAGTGTCTGGACCGCTGGAAAGCTTATCCTGATAGGAACGCATGTGAACAGCAGCCTTGCGCAAAGGAGGGTTTAGGGCTTAGGGCTTAGGGTTTAGGGTTTAGGGTTTAGGGTTTAGGGTTTAGGGTTTAGGGTTTAGGGTTTAGGGTTTAGGGTTTAGGGTTTAGTTTAGGGTTTAGTTTAGAGCTTAGGGTTTCGGGTTTCGGGTTTTAGGGTTTAGGGTTTAGGGTTTAGGGTTTAGGGTTTAGGGTTTAGGGTTTAGGGTTTAGGGTTTAGGGTTTAGGGTTTAGGTTTAGGGTTTAGGGTTTAGGGTTTAGGGTTTAGGGTTTAGTGTTCAGGGTTAAGGGTTTAGGGTTTAGGGTTTAGGGTTTAGGGTTTAGGGTTTAGGGTTTAGGGTTTAGGGTTTGGGTCAGCCTGGCACAAAGGAAGAGAATCAAGTCGAAGACGGCCAGCGCTATGAGAACGATGCTCTTTCCTTGGGAGTCCAGCTCATGGGCCCAATAAGGGTTTAGGGTTTAGGGTTTAGGGTTTAGGGTTTAGGGTTTAGGGTTTAGGGTTTAGGGTTTAGGGATAGAAGCTCAAACCTTCACTTCATGTTGGGGTTACAGCCTCCCAACAATGACAATTTACATGCAAAGCTTGGGAAGTTCCCCCTTGTCCTAAAAGCCCTTAATACGGATTCTGATAGGGGGTACTATAAACCCCAATGAAGGGCTGTTAGCATAAGGGGGAACATCCCAGTACAAAGTCAAAAAGGAGCCGCCCAGGTTGTAGATCACCGACTCCAAAACCAGCATGGCCACGAAGAGCATGATCACGCTGACAAGGATTGAGAGGTTGATGAATATGTCGCTGCATATCCTTGCGCAGAATTCAGGCTGGCCTGCTCGACCCCGCAACCAACATGCGAGTTTTGAGGTCACAAAGAAGATAATGGGCAAGATGCCAAATGCCCAGCCGATGCCTCGGAGCGCCTCTTTAAAAGCTTCCCGCAGCTCATACTCCACCCACACTGTGTGCCCCTGCGGCGCGTTGAATATCCATTCCAGGCGACTGGAGGCAGTATCCAAGTGATGCCAGATAACGGGCACCGCCATTACAACGAACTGTTTGTATGTCAGAACCTGCGACGAAAGTTGCTCGGTCAGGCAGGCCAGCACCTCAGAACGCACAGCACTGTCAAAGTTCTCCACGCTGCCAAACCAGAGAGTTATGCACGAATTTATAACTCGACGGTCACATGCCATCCGCCTGCCATCTGCTTGCCTGTGGCCAACTGCACAGCAATAGCACAAACAGTCCTTGCATTGGAACTGCTGCAGCTCACGATGGAGCGAGTCCACACTCCGGAAAAACTCACGCAACTTGGTCACGCTCCAGTAAAAAGCAACAGATGCGAACCCAGCCATCAACGGCCAAATAACTGCGTGGTTGGCAGCGTCCTCTCCACTGAGCGGGACAAAGGCCAAACCTGGAACACATGAGTCTGAGAGTTTCCAAACCCTAAACCCTAAACCCTAAACCCTAAACCCTAAACCCTAAACCCTAAACCCTAAACCCTAAACCCTAAACCCTAAACCCTAAACCGTGAGGGGGGGGGGGGGGGTCCTTTATCTAAGGGATCTCGAACCTTGAAAACCTTCTGGATGGTTGGCTTTATTTCCTACAAAAGAAAACCTTTCCTGAGGCAGACCCAGAGACCCAGTACGACGACAGACAAAGCAATGGGTAGTGAGACGAAGACCGGGCCAAGCAGTGTAGGCCTGACTGTTACGCGTGCTTTCTGCCCGCTCGCGCGGCTTCGCAAGAATGCCTGGGGGCGCTGTTCAGAACATCAAACTAGGAGCCAGAACAAGGAAATCAAATAACTGGACATGCTGTGGGCTCTGCTATAAGAACATAAACTAAGATCCTGAACAGCAACCCAGCAGCAGCAATTTCGAAGCAACACCACAGGCGCCCAGTATAAGACGGATCCCACAGCACAAGCAAAGATTCCGAGGCCTTGAGGAAGGCCGGCATACTGAAAAGCGCCAATGACTTTTGTTTACGGTCATATTGGTTGATGCACAGAACATCCACGAAAACCGTTCTCGCGGGCTGCCAGCACAGGAGGCAAATACAAAAGACCACAAAGCCCACGGCTTTGGCCCAATAAGATACCGGAGGATATTTTGGTAATGAGGTTGGAATACCACCATGGAACCTCATAGGGAGTATACCGGCTGCGTACAGGATGACGGCAATCAGTGCGATCGCTGTAGCAATCAGTGGTGCAACTTTCCCATTGTTCAGGAACAACGCGGTCACTACTTTGATGTGACTGTTGCCATGCCAGGAATGGCTCCAAAACTCTTTTATCTTGTCTGTCGGAACGCTTCCGTGGAACGCCCTCGGAGCTGCTTTTCTGCGGAAAGCGCGGCCACAGCACCTAAGAGCTCTTCCAGCAGGAACTGCGCGGATAATGTCTGGGGCGAGTGGCTTCATGTCGCAAAGGACTTCGACCATCATCTCCTCCATTCTCCGGAAGTCTTCACCGGCGTCGTCTGAATCATGCGGGCCATCGGGAGAATGGAGCTCTTCATCTGCGGCGTCCAAGGAACCAGCACGCATGCCATCATGCGGACCATCGGCAGCAGCAGCAGCCACAGCAGAATCGTTGAAGCCACCCCTTGGGCCATCATCCTGCTCACTGTTTGCCATTGCGCTACTTCACCAAAGTGTCTTTTGCCACATGAGGGAGGTTGACTGCATGTGAGGCACAGGCCGACAAAAGCATGGAACGTCAGGGACTTGCGGTTGCGTTAACTGCAGAATTGTGTACTGCATGGCTCCTTTGGTGCATGTACCTGTGTTCATGTCCATGCAACTGGCTCCACATGCAGGATGCAGAAATGGTGCTTGTGATCGAAGACAAAAAAGAAAATGGAAACGAAAAGGATGTGTTACACTTCAAAGTTCGCTTTCAGGGTATCAGATGAACCCAAGGGCTCATACCTCAGAGCCATCTAAAGAAGGTATCCCGCCCCCCCCCCCCCCCCCCCCCCCCCCTCCCCCCCACCCCCCCCACCCCTCCATGATGCCGGTACAGGTGCCGTGGTTGCGGACCACATGCTCAGGGGGCTGCGCTGGGCCAGGCCGAGGCGGATCGCGTAGCGTCAAAAATAGAATAGGGCTTTGCGGGATGTTTTTTGTGGAATTATCAAGGGACCATGAGGGAATACTACCAGTAATTGTTCCGACCCCTATTAGTAGGAAGCCCGGCGTGCTCGACACGCCGTAAGAGCCTTTTAGGGTTCAAGGCGCTCAGGGGTGTTTCGAAGGTGCTTTGCGCCGCACCCCATGCTTCTGAACCCTAAAACCTGAACCCTAAACCATACACCCTAAACCCTAAACCCTAAACTCTAAACTCTAAACCGTATGGTACCACTGGGCTACCAAGTGGTAGGGCTCAGCCTAAGCCTGACTGCCGGGACGCTGTCTGAGATGAATCGCACCAGGTACTGGCGCTCCATGTCGAGGTAGTCCTGCGACGGCATGCTGCGGAGCTTGCGGCTTAGGGTTCGGGATGTCAAGAATAAACCCTAAACCCTAAACCCTAAATTCTAAACCCTAAACCTTAAACCCTAAACCCTAAACCCTAAACCCAAGGTTTCGGAGGCGTCTTTACCCCAACAACCTTCACAGTTAGCTCCCAGGCCTTACTGCAAGCTTCTACGCACGGAGCAGCACTTCACTAGGAATTCAACACACATCCGCGTGCACATCTGAAAACACAGACACTCGCAGACATGTCCTCCGATGGAATCTGGTTCACGAAGGCCGGGATGCTACGACCTTGGAGCAGGACTCGTTTTAGGGTTTAGGGTCTAGGGTTTAGGGTTTAGGGTTTAGGGTTTAGGGTTTAGGGTTTAGGGTTTAGGGTTTAGGGTTTAGGGTTTAGGGTTTAGGGTTTAGGGTTTAGGGTTTAGGGTTTAGGGTTTTGCGTGAGGCGCTGGAATCTCTGGTACGAGTTAATCGCGGCGGGTTTACGAAATTCGGGGCACCTTATTGGGGGTCTTCTTGCGTCTCCATGCCCGGAGCAGCATCTTACGAAGGCTTTGGTTGTGTGGCCCAATGTCCATGGTGTGGGTAAGCTTCACCTGGCTATGCCAGCGACGTTCATCCTAATTGAAGGTCAGTCAAACTACAGTCCAAAGATTTGCCTTCGAAATCCGCGAGGTTTCAAGCGGGATCTGAGACGCTGGGGTCCTGAAAGTTTTCGTGTCGACCGCCGAAGCTCTTTTAGCACATCAGTTGTCCCAGCAGCGGCCTTTCATTCTCTTCCAGTCTTCCCGGCCATTTGAAAATCATCATGTTGTTTAAGACAGATAAGTGGCCTGCAGTTATGACCCACCAGCACCTAGTCTAAGGAAGACTGACTGAGACAAGAAACAGCAGCAAGGCCCAAACCTGTCGTCATAAGAAGCTATTAAACGTGTGTATTTGAGGTTTTATGACGGCATTTCAGGTTAGAACCGTTTGTGAAATATCGCCATGAATACAATAAAGAACTCGCCTCGGAATTGTTTTTCTTAGAATGAAAGAATTACAGTCTGAACAACCCCTTCGTAAAGTTATAGCCTATACGCTGAAGGTTTGTACATACTTGCTTTTAGCTCTCTCTACAACTGGTGAATCAATGATCTTTGCTATGTTTAAGAACCAGTCGTGCGGCTATCAGCAGTAGGTGTTTTCCTACGGGTCCTGCGAGAGGCGGAAGGTCTCAGCAGATGTAGGGATTCGGCGGCTTAGGTGAGCGACCTTTGGCATGTAGCCAGCGCCAGCGCATTGGCTACTTGAATACACGCAGCTGTATACAAGGCCATAAGTAGCCCCAAATGAGGTCATCCGTGCGCACAAACAAGCTTGCAAACCCTAAACCCCAAACCCCAAACCCTAATCCCTAAACCTCCAAGTACTCTTCGGGAGCTTTCATCCGAGTTGCACTTCTCTGTGAGGGCTGCTGCATTTGCAAAAATCCTCGCGCTTTTTAGGGTTTGGGGTTTAGGGTTTAGGGTTTAGGGTTTAGGGCTTTCGGGTTTGGCGCTTGGGGTCTGGGACTTAGCGTTCAGGGCATTGAGACTAGAAATGGCAATGAGGAGACATTTCATAATGTGTTCTCGTCGCGCGGGCCCATAGCTAAAGTGCTAAAGTCGGTATGATAGGAGGCAACAGTGCCTAGCTTCTTGGTCTTCCACCTTGAACTCGAGTACTGTGATCTACTATGTGACTACCATGCACATCATGGCGATGACAATGGCGGCTACGATCACTGTATAATAGAGTTTGCTTCTGTTCTTAAGATCGTGAGCATTATTGGCGTCATACTACTAGCATTGCTTTGCTGAGGAGCACCACTGTAGCGTCGATGACACTCCCGCCTGCAGCTGGAGCCTAAGAATGGATCATGTGTGCGACCAGAAACACGACGCCAACGTCGAAACCAATGGCATCAAGCGATAACAATCATTTTGCATTGTAACATTCGGTTTGCATCTCAGGAACCTTTACTCAAAGGATTTTCAACAAATTGCTGAGGAACGACGTGGCAAGAGATAAGGCGAGAGAAAAAATGAATGCATGATCTGAACGCATGAACGCATGAACGCGTGAACGCGTGAACGCGTGAACGCATGAACGCATGAACGCACAAAGACAGAGAGAGAGAGAGAGAGAGCACGAGAGAGAGAGCACGAGAGAGAGAGAGAGAGAGATATATATATATATAGAACGCGAGCGAGCGAGCGAAAAGGCAAAAAGAACGAACCACAGGCAGGCCGAGGCGTGTCCAGCTTTGTCGTGGCAGAGGCGTTGGGGAGTTGGAGGGTCGAAGCGGCATCAGACATCCCACACAAATACCCTGAGTGCCCAAACCCAAGGAGATTGAACCCTTAGACCTGAGACCCTCAAACCCTCAGTCCGAAACCCTCTAATCCTACCCAAAAACCTTTCAGTGAAAACCCCAAAGAGGTCCTCAAGTTCAGAGAGAAGAGGAATAGCCTGAGCTGCGTCGTCGATTTGGGCACTGTGGGCTGAGGACTTGCGGGATAAGAGCTTCAGAATGGTGTTCAGGCTACTTCTTCACAACCTGCTTGGACCCCCTCTGCGACTCCTTGTTTCACTTTCAGAACATCTCTTCAGGGGGCAAGAGCATGTAATCTGACAGTATTTGCCCGTGGGCGAGGCTGCACCCAGTCTTCAGGTCACGCCGCAAGGAGTGGTCATGGCTTCAGAGGAGTAGCTTACCCAATGATCGACCGACTGGTGCCCAGGTTGAGGACAGGAGTTGTCACTGCGACAACAATGTCTATGGGAGCTCTTGGCCTCCCCCGAAGAGAGACAGAGAGAGAGAGAGAGAGAATAAACAAAAAACAAAAAGAGAGAAAGAGAGAGACGGCGAGCGAGAGCCAGAGAGAGAGAGAGAGAGAGAGGGAGAGAGAGAGAGAGAGAGTGACAGAGGGTGACAGAGAGCGCGGGAGGAGGGAAAATCAGAGCGTCTGTGCTTACGCTTGGTTTGTGCTGCTCTTGCACCTAGATCTGCGGGCAACGTGCCCAAAGCCTCATATAGACGGGTGCAGGAACTGGTGTTTGAAGGTTTCTCGTCCACACTGTTCTGATGCGCTTGGTGCTAGGTTTGTCATGTTTCTGCAACTTGCAAGTTGAAGTTGCCTATAACAAATCGCGCTCAGCTTCTCCGGGGGAAAATTTTTTTGCATTCTTCTGACGCAATGCCTTCATTCACATTCAAAAAGACATTCTCGCGACTGATCTGTTGGCTTGTCCTCATTGTTCTGCCAACGCCGATTCGCTCTTGCATACGGTGCTCCTTCATTCACGGATAAAATATGACCGTCTTACTTACAAGTGGCAAGGCTTGCAGGGAGCTGGTGCTCACTTGGCACTGCACCTGGACTACAGCACGCATAAAACCTTAAACCCCAAATGTGGCACCCGATCCGTGTTCTTTTTTTGCTTTTGGCGTTTGCGTGCTCATGTTCTCTACAGTTTGGGATAGAGGAATTTCAGGTTCCCCGCCCGAAAGTAAACCCTAAACCCTGATCCCAGCGACTGCGGGACATCTGGAGGGCCTCCCAACTGATCCCAACCCAGATACGTGGGGGATTTACGAAAAGACGGGACCCCTAATATAGTCCCCCAGTAGTCGGATTCCCTTATAACAGGGGCCCCAATAAGGCAGCCCTCATTTTCGCAAACCCCCAAATGGGCCTGGGATGCCATCGAAACCTGACGCCTGAACCAGTTCGAGTATCCGTGCTCTGCCCCTTGGGATGAAAGAGTGACCGTGGAGAAACAACAACCCTAAACTGCTGTTTGCTTGAATGCCTGAGAAAGACATGAAACATCTTCTTCCCTATGGGGTAATAAGGGGATTGTTGACTTTTTCCTTTTCTTTTTTTTGGGGGGGCGAGGGGGGAGGGGGGTTCTTAAGCAAAAAGAGTAGTAAACTGCAAAACCCGAACCCACAAAAAGAAGCCAAGCTGTGCCAAGTCACAGAGGTAGCGACGACATGGCCTGCACACTCGATTTGGTTTACGAAACTAAGGGACCCCTAATATAGTCCCCAAATGGTAGGATTCCCTTTCTAAGAAGGACGCCATAAGATACCCCTAATTTGAACCGCCAGGTGAACCGCCAGGTGA